TGAAATATGTAGAGAATCTGCAAACAATAACCTGAGCTTGTAATTTTCACAGTCAAGGATGCAGAAATTTTTATTATCGAAGTTGTACTTGCACTCTAACGAAAGGGCTACAGTCCCAGAATGCTCCGGATTGTTTTTCTTAGCAGCATCTTTGTGTTCCTCTTCTCTCGCGTTAAATGTTCTGCATGTTTTAATAACGTAGACACCATATGATGTCAGATTTGTCAGGGTTAACTGTGGAGTAGAATGGCCAGTACAAAATGAATCTTAGCAAATTGTATGTTATATAAAGACCCTGTAAGTGTTGATTTTTGAAAATAACGTTTAAGGCTGGGAGAGATGCCATGATCAAACGGAGTAGAGATGGCAGATGTTGAATCTTCAGGATTTTCCTATTTTCCTTATTCAAAATAATGAAGATTAGAAATTAAATACGTGCTTGGGTATCCGTTATATTTCAAAACAGACATGACCAATCTAGCACAGTAACTGCCTTACCTTGTACCTTCAACACACCTTGCATCTTCTGTCATGATATCGTTTGAGTGTAGGGGCTCAAAGTTATTGCTTAACACCTTGCTTCCTTAAAAAGGAATTCACTTTTCGAATAAGATGTTTCGCAAAAATGGACACCCCCCAGTTCCTGTTCAAATTCTAGCCATGATAAATCTAACGTGGTGCGGGATTTACATTGGTGAAACATACAGGATCTTTAATGTTAGAATAAAAGAACACCAAGTTACTGCTAGAAGGAACCATTCAGAGCACTTTTAGATTGCAGCCGGTTCGTTAGAATGCATTCATAACTTCGCTAGAGAAAACACGGCAGATTCCATGGCTGTGAAATGGACAGGAGCAGCCGAATTATTGAAGAATCTATATGTATCTCATTTAACAAGCAAAACATCAACTCCACTGATATCTGTTCTGCTTGGAAATCCGTAATGTAACCAAAATAATAATAAAAAGCATCCACTCATTAATTTTCACGACTTTCTTAACTGCTAGAGTTGTAAAACTGGGTTCATCCTTTCTGTAAAGTCCCTTCAAGTCCGACTGCACACTTGCTTATTCATCTATTGTAATTGTTGGTTATTTCGTAATTTCTGTGT